CAGGTTCGAGACCCGCCTGGGCAACTTGGTGAGACCTCATCTCTACAAAAAATAAAAAATTAGCTAGGTGTGGTAGCGCGTGCCTGTAATTCCAGCTACTTGGAAGGCTGAGGCCGAAGGATTGCTGGAGTCCAGCAGGTCGAGGTTGCGGTGGCCAGGAGTGGCCACTGCGCTCCAGTCTGGGCGACAGAGTGAGACTCCAACTCAAAAAAAAAAAAAGAATCAAGTTTTCAAAGGCTACTTAGTGGTACAAAAAGATGCTAGGCTTCAATATCCCCTTTAAAAACTATGATATATGACTGCATATATATACAACATGACCCCACTTCTCTTTGTCAAGTAAGTAGCAAAGAATCAGATGAATCATATTAAAACATGTCCCAAGTGGTGGCTCATGCCTACAATCCCAGCATTTTGGGAGGCTGAGGCAGGAGCATCATTTGATGTCCAAGTGAAATGTAGGGGACACCAACAACCAAAAAATCATCAAATTCCAGGAGTGTGAGTGAGACCAGCCTGGGTAACAAAGCAAGACTTTGACTCTACAAAAAAGAAAGAAAGAAAGAAAGAAAAATTGGCCAGCCGGGCTCAGTGGCTCAGCCTGTAATCCCGCGCTTTGGGAGGCCGAGGTGAGTGGACTGCCTGAGCCCACGGGTTCGAGACCCGCCTGGGCAACTTGGCGAGACCTCAACTCTACAATAAATCAAAAATTAGCCGAGCGTGGTTGCGCGTACCTGTAGTTCCAGCTACTTGGAAGGCTGAGGCGGAAGGATCGCTAGAGCCCAGCAGTTCAAGGCTGCAGTGGCCGGAAGCGGCCACTGCACTCCAGTCTGGGTGACAGAGTGAGACTCCAACTCAAAAAAAAAAAAGAAAAATTGACCGGGCATGGTGGCATAGGCCTGTGGTCCCTGCTACTCGGGAGGCTGAGGCAGGAGGATTGCTTGAGCCCAAAAAGCTCAAAACCAGCCTGGGCAGCACAGTGGGACCTTGTCTCTACAGAAAATAAAAAAATAGCCAGACACGGTGGTATGTGCCTATAGTCCCAGTTACTCAGGAGGCTAAGGCAGGAGAATCACTTGAGCCCAGGAATTTAAGGCTGTAGTGTGCCGTGATCATGCCAATGCACTCCAGCCTGGGCAACAGAATAAAACCTTGTCTCAAAACAAAAAATAAATAACAACGGCCAGACACAGAGGCTCGTGTCTATAATGCCAGCACTTTGGGAAGCCAAGTCAGTAGGAATGCTTGAGCCCAGGAGTTCAAGACCAGCCTGGGCAACAGGGAAAGAAACCGTTTCTAATCTAAAATAAATAAATAAATAAACATTAAAATAAACAAATAAATAAATAAGTCCCTGGCTGCCTTCTCACAGTGTTTACTCAGCAAGTTAGTGAGAAACTAAATTCTATAAAGAATATCAAAGAGAGCCAGGCTTTGGTGACTCACGCCTGTAATCCTAGCACTTTGGGAAGTCAAGGAGGGCACATTACTTGAGCGCAGCAGTTCAAGACCAACACAGTGACACTTGGTCTCTACAAAAAAAAAAAAAATTAGCTGAGCATGGTGGCATGCACCTATAGTCTCAGCTACTCAGGAGGCTGAGATAGAAGGATCGCCTGAGCCCAGGAGGCCAAGGCTGCCATGAGCTGTGATCATTGTATCATGCCACTGCACTCCAGCCTGGGCAACACAGTAAAACTTTGACTAAAAAAAAAGGGACTATCAAGGAGAGAAAGAGATAAATGGGAGAAATGAGAAGACAAACAAATGATTCTGACATTAACTACCTGTTAATACTCACTCCAACTCTCTCATCCCAGAAAGGACTCAAGATTACTTATAAAAACAAATACAACATAAAACAAAATGAAAAAGTAAACAAAGCCGGGCTCGGTGGCTCAGCCTATAATCCCACGCCTTTGGGAGGCTGAGGTGAGTGGATTGCCTGAGCCCGCGGGTTCAAGACCCGCCTGGGCAGCGAGATCTCATCTCTACAATAAAACAAAAACTCACCCGGGCATGGTAGCCCATGCCTGTAATTCCGGCTACTCCGAAGGCTGAGGCAAAAGGATCACTGGAGCCCAGCAGGTCGAGGCTGCGGTGGCCGGGAGCGGCCACTGCACTCCAGTCTGGGCGACAGAGTGAGACTCCAACTCAAAAAAAAAAAAAAGAAAAAGTAAACAAAGGACAGTTATCATGACACACCGCTGTGAACTGCACATCCTTTAGCTAGAGTCCATTTTAACTATACTAAAACTGGTCAATTTGCTTCATGAAGACTTCAGAGTGATAATCAGAGAATTAACCACCTCCAACTTAAAGAAAGAGGATAAAAACAAAAAATAAAGCAAAAAAAGGGCAAAACCATTTTTTCAAGGATTCAGGTAAACTGCAAGAACAGCACCTTTCTCTGGGGAGAACCCAGGTCAGAGCTTCACCACATGACGTCCTCACTGGTGAGAGGAGGGGTGCCACACCTCAGGACAACACAGTCTCCCGCTTTGGAGAAGGAAGACACCAGGTCCAGATGAGTGTAGGAACACCAGCGACTGAGAGTCACCAAATTCAAGCTGGCCAGGCCCACTGTTGTCACAGTTTCCAACATCTTACCACCTTCGTTTTTCTCAGTGCCTAGCAGACTGACCCAAGGCAGGACATGCAACATTCACATGGGATCCCTGGGTACCCGCATCTGCTTACTGCACTCCACATCCCTGATGGTGTTGTAAACATTACCCTGGGTTGGCTTCCGGAAACAAAGGATCTGCCATAATCCAGCCCTGGCTGATGTGCCTTGTAATTAATGGCAATGGGATACAGACTTTGCATGCCATAGCCCAGTTTTGGCCACCTTTGAGGACATCTGCATTACTTAGGTGTTACCTTCCACTCTGACTACCTCTGCCACCACAAGGATATGATTAGCTAATACATCTAAGGACACTCCAACTTCAGGTTCTAATTAGAAGTATGCATTTCATGAATCATCCAAATATAGTCATCTTTACAGTTTATCCTTAATATTGTTCACAATCAACATTTACTGAACATTTACTATAAACCAAGTACTACATTGCTTATGTTCTTATTTAATCTCCACCTCAATTTGGTCAGGAACATTCTGATATGACTCTTATTTTACAGATAAGGGAGAAGGTCTGAAGAAGTAGTACTACAAGGGCAGATTATTTTGTCTATTTTATTCACTAGTGCATTTCTAGCACCTCAAACTCCACCTGACACATAAGTACATTCATTTATTTGTTGAATGAATGAATGAACAAATAAACTAGGCTGGCCTTGAACTCCCAGGTTCAAGCAATCCTCCTGCCTTAGCTTCCCAAAGTGCTGGGATTGCAGGCACGAGCCACTGTGCCAGGCCCGTGGGCAATTCTAAAATGGCAATTTTCACTAATCAGTAATATCCCAAGTCCTAGTTTTCAGTCCTAGTCTGTATCTCCCCATTGCTACTATTCAGCAATGCCTTGCTGTTGATGGCTGTGACAATGTGGGTGGTTCAGCAGTGGTGCCACTGTCTGAGTGAGACAGTAATACCCAGTACAGTGAACTCATCCCACCCAGTACTTCAGAGCCCTAAGATGCTGTCTGATAAAGGACAAGAGTATAATTATTGAAGGCTCAGACAGGTTATGCAGCTGAGATTCAAGAGGAAAATAACCTTCCCCATTTCGGGGAACAAACGATCTGATGCTCAGAGATGAGATTCCCACAAGGGGAGTCTCACAAAAGGTAGCCCAGGAGTATAGGTGATAGCAGATATCAAACTCCACAGCAGAAATCACTTCCTTTCTCATTCTTTTTCAAAATTTCAGACTCTGCTAAGGAGACAGTCTGTGTAGGTCATCATATATCTTTATGTCTCCTGAATACCTATTAATCTCCTTTTTAAATAAAGTCTCAGAATCTGCCATGAGCAAGAGTCTCTGGCTAAGAAATAACGTGTCACTGTCCTTGCTGAGAGGCAGTAGAGCCCGCCTGGCTATGAGAGGGAGCTCTGGGGTACAGCAGCCAGTGGTTATGCCTACTATCACTCAGTATCTACACAAAACCAGTGGTTTTCCTTTGTGGTCAGTCTCCTCATCTGTAAAATGATGATGGTAACAGTACTTACCTCACAGAGCAGGTGTAAGGATTAAATGAACTATCAAGATAGAGTACTATGAACTTTGGTATGTAATAAGCAGTAATCATCCATGTCATGTGCCTGTTTTTGTGTTCTGTCTTGGCAATTTTATACCTGTGACATCAGTTTTTCAATTATAGTGATAACAAAAAGCTTCAGCCGGGCTCGGTGGTTCAGCCTGTAATCCCACACCTTTGGGAGGCTGAGGTGAGTGGGATTGCCTGAGCCCACGGGTTCGAGACCCGCCTAGGCAGTGAGACCTCATCTCTACAATAAATCAAAAGATCAGCCGGGCGTGGCAGCGCATGCCTGTAATTCCGGCTACTCGGAAGGCTGAGGCGGAAGGATCGCCGGAGCCCAGCAAGCGAGGCTGCAGTGGCCAGGAGCGGCCACTGCACTCCAGTCTGGGCAACAGAGTGAGACTCCAACTCAAAACAAAAACAAAAACAAAAAAAAACAACAACAAAAAACCCCAAAAAGCTTCTTCTTGAATAATTCAAATTGATTAAGATAACAAAGTGAGTCAATTTAAAGCAAAGCAAAAAGGCTGCCCAGGTTAAGTAAGCACCAACATGGGCCACCTCACCAGGGCTGGTCGAATCACCCGAAAAGGATTTCACTTATTCCCCAAAACCCCAGTTTTCTCCTGGATGAGGACCAGACACTCTCTGTCCCTCCAGATGCCTCTGTATGCATGTGCCTAGCAAGATGAAGCATCGACAGGTGCACACTCCATCCTGCACTTCCTCTTCTCATAACTTCTTTCCAGCCCAGATTTCCAACCACCAGCACCAACAGAGTGTTTCTCACCATCCATGGGTACCCCAGGAACAGTCCAGGGCAGAAGCCAACTGACCTTCAGGGCTTTGAAAACTACCCCTGGGTGCCGGGGGGAACGGGTGGTGTTGTTCTCCAACAGCTGCTCCAGAGCCCGCCGGAGCCCCGAGAAGTCTGTGGGGGGGTTATAAGTCCGCGTGCCCTTGTAGTGGATGGAACTGAAGGCCTCAGGAAAGCGGCCCAGCTTCCGGAAGCGGTCCTGAATGAGCTTCTCTGGCGCCTCCAAGGGGTGATCTGCAGAAGCAGAAATAGACACGTGAGCAGCGAGGGAACCGTTTAAAAGAGTTGTCTTTGGCCGGGAACGGTGGCTCAGCTGTAATCCCAGCACTTTGGGAGGTTGAGGCGAGTGGATTGCCTGAGCCCGCAGGTTCGAGACCAGCCCAGGCAACTTGGCAAGATCTCGTCTCTACAATAAATAAATTTTTAAAAAATTAGGTTGGCATGGTAGCGCACGCCTGTAGTTCCAGCTACTTAGAAGGCTGAGGCAGAAGATCACCTAAGCTCAGCAGGTCAACACTGGGGTGGCCGTGAGCATGCCACTGCACTCCAGTCTGGGCGACAGAGTGAAACTCCAACTCACAAAAAAAATATATATATAAATAAATAATAATAAAGTCGTCTTTATAAAAGAAGCTCTGAGTCATTATGCATAAGGTAAATCCACAGACAGACCTAATCTACCCAGGTTCCCCATCCTGGAGTGGCGCATGAGGAGGGCTTCCTAGAGGAGGAGGAGGAGGAGGCTGGTGTCCCTGGCCTGCTGCTGATTCCACAGGTGCATTCAAGTTGTGAGAATATGTCACTGAACACTTCTGATGGGAAGTGCACTTTACTGTGCATATATTATACATCAAGAAAGAGGCTTCTTATTTTAAAAAAAAGACTAATCATTGTAAGAAAAATCTAGACATGCCAAAATGTAAAAGGAGAGAACCTACTTCCTTTGCTCCCTCTTTCTCAACGGACATGTCTGTCCACGCACAGGCCTTCTCCACAGACTTCCAGCAGGTACACGCAGCATGCTCTCCACCACTTTATGGCATTCTGCAAGTGTCTGTCCTTGTCATGACACATGCACTTGAGCCCCTTACACTTTTTTTTTTTTTTTTGAGTTGGAATCTCACTCTGTCGCCCAGACTAGAGTGCACTGGCACGCTCCCGACCACTGCAGCCTCAACCTGCTGGGCTCCAGCGATCCTTTCGCCTTAGCCTTCCAAGTAGCTAGAACTATAGGCGTGTGCTACCATACCCAGCTAGTTTTTTATTTATTGTAGAGACAAGGTCTTGCCAAGATGCCCGGGCAATCCACTCGCCTCAGCCTCCCAAAGTGCTGCGATTACAGGCTGAGCCACCGAGCCCCTTACTCTTTACCAGCTGTTGCATCTTCCACACATGTCTCTGTTTAAATAGTCACCTACTAACTAACATTTAAATGTCTGTCCTCTGAACTCACTGGTCTAACCGTGTGTGAGGGTAAGAGCATGCCCTCAGTCTCCCACTTGTCCAGAAATGTGGACTGAACAGTGAAGATGGATTTAATGCATGTTTTGGAGGTAAAGGCTGAAAGAACTTTTTAATTTCCTTTAATATTTTAACACCAAAATCACCCCAAAATAACAATGAAGTGATAGTAACTCAAATTTAAAAGCACAGTCACCAAAGAGAAGTAGCCACAATTCTGCACTATCCACTAAGGCCACCCCTTCCAAACCTTTCCAGTGGCAGCTTTTTTTTTTTTTTTTTTTTTTGAGTTGGAGTCTCACTCTGTAGCCCAGGCTGGAGTGTAGTGGCATACTCATGGCCACTATAGCATTGACCTGCTGTGTGCTCCAGCAATCCTTCCACCTCAGCCTTCCAAGTAACCGGAACTATAGGCGTGCACTACCGCACCTGGCTAATTTTTTAATTATTGTAGAGATGAGGTCTCGCCAAGTTGCCCAGGCTGGTCTGGAACCCGCAGGCTCAGGTAATTCACTCACCTCAGCCTCCCAAAGTGCTGGGATCGCAGGCTAAGCCACCAAGCCCAGCGCAGCTGCTTTTGAGGAAAGTCACAGGCAGTATCCTGGGGGTATACCACCAGTCACCGACTTCTGTCACAGACACCCAGGGGCTAACTTTCCTTCCTCCCAACATCACCTGGCAGTTTGCCCTGGACATACATACCACTGCTCCCAAATAACGGGGCCCTGCACATCTGTAAACAGAAGAATTCATGTGTCTTCCAAGGAACCTAGCTGCCGAGGAATCCTCTAGGTAGAAAAGCAGCAGAGCCAAACAACACACCAAAAATTTAGGGGAGAATATCTAATTATTAACTACACACCATCCTGTCACCTCTCCTACTCTGCACAGAATCTGGCGCCTTGGTTCCACCTCAGGGTTTCAAGGAGCAGCACTGTCATTCCAAAAACAGCTCTGGAGTTAAGACTTAGAAGACCTTGTTCTGAATCCCAATTTTGCCATTTACTAGCTACAAGTGGTTATACAACATAGCGTCTCTGAGTTCAGTTTCTCCACCTGTAAAACGGAGCTGCTACTAATAGCAAAAACACAGTAAAACAGCATTTATTTAAGGAAACACCTGGTAAAGTGCATGGTCAGAGCAAACAATACAATAAACAGTTTTTGAGTGCCTAATTCTTTCTTTTTTGAAGAGATGGAATCTCCCTTTGATTTTTCTTTTTTTGTCAGTAGGAGTCTCACTCTGTCACCCACGCTGGAGTGCAGAAGCACACCAGCCACCGCAGCCTTCCGCCTCAGCCTTCCAAGTAGCTGGAACCACAGGCACGCGCCACCACACCCGGATAATTTTTTTATTTACTATTAGAGATGAAATCTCGCCACATGGAGTCTTCCTTTGATACCTGGAATGCAGTAATACAATCATAGCTCACTGCATCCTTAAGCTCAAGCAATCCTCCTGCCTCAGCCTCCCAAGTAGCTGGGATCACAGGCACCACCACACCCAGTTATGGGCTGGTTATTTCAAAATGCTGATCTGGCTGTTAAACCTTCCCCTCACCAATGTAATAAAGATCAAAAGTGGCATAAAAGTGCTGACTACAGGAGGCATCTTAAAGGCAGCATTTCTCACCCCCTCTCCCTTCCTTATACAACTTGCTAATGAGTCTCTTCCTGCATTCTGGAACACTGAGATTTCTGTCTTCCAAGTCATGAGCCATTGCTACCACAATCACCTGGTCCCAGGTCCTTCAAAGTCAACCTCCTTTATGGCCTCATCTGTCCGTGTCCCTCCTGCCACTGCTCTGGCTCAGTCCCTAACATGTCCCATCTGAGTACCTTGATAACCTCCTATCTGGTCTCCCTTCCTCCAGACATGCCCCTCAAAAAAAAGATCACACAGGGCTGGGCTTGGTGTCTCAGCCTGTAATCCCAGCACTTTGGGAGGCCAAGGCGAGTAGACTGTCTGAGCTCACAGGTTTGAGACCAGCCCGGGCAACTTGGCAAGACTTCATCTTTACAATATATAAAAAATTAGACAGACGTGATAGCGCATGTCTGTAGTTCCAGCTACTTGGAAGGCTAAGGCAGAAGGATCACTGGAGCCTATCAGGTTGATGCTGGGGTGGCTGTGAGTGTGCCACTGCACTCCAGCCTGAGTGACAGAGTGAGACTCCAACTCAAAAGAAAAAATCATAGATCGTATAATTCTCTGCGTAAGATCCCTCAGGGACTCATGTCACACTTGTGGGCTCCCAACTAGACCAGGAGCTATTTGAGGATGAGCTTTGTTTTTTTTTGTTTGTTTGTTTTGCAGGGTCTTGCTGTATTGTCCAGATTGGTCTTGCCTGGACTCTGCCTCAATCTCCCAGGTAGCTGGGACCATACCAGCATGCCCCACATCAGGAATTGTTTCAGTTCTGTGCCTCAGTGCTCTGCACTCAATAAAAACTCTGGGGACTGAACAAGCAGATGCGTGGAGTGACCCTCCACATGTGATTACTGCTGCTGCATCTGCTTCCCCTCCACTACTAACATGATCTTGCTTTCCATTTCTCCAAGAAGATAGATTTAATCAGATAAAACTTTCCACATACACTCCAGCACTAGCACCCACCCACTCACTACATCCACCGATTACTCTCTCCTGCTGCTATGGGTGAACTGTCCATGGTCCTACCTAAGGCCAACTTTGCTACTGTGCATAGCTCTGATTGGTCCTACTCTCTTTCTTGCATCTGCAGTGCTCCCTGTCTCACATATCATTCCCATCAGTCCACAAATAGCTGTTAAATGTTTAAAAGGGAAAATCGGTTAGGTGTGGTGGCTTGCACCTATAATCCCAGCACTTTGGGAGGCCAAGGTAATCCCTGAGTCCAGGGGTTCAAGACCAGTCTAGGCAACTTAACAAGATCTCATCTCTACAATAAGCCAAAAAATTAGCTGGGTGTGGTGGTGTGCATCTGTAGTTCCAGCTACTTGGAAGGTTGAGGCTGAAGGATTACCTGAGCCCAGCAGGCCAAGGCTGCAGTGGTCGTGAGGGTGCCACTGCACGCCAGCCTAGGCGACAGAGTGACACTCCAACTCAAAAAAAGAATAAAAATAAAAAAGTTTAAAACAAGGAAAATCCCTTGAAATTCCACATCAGTCTCCAGTTATGATTTCATTGCTCTGTTTTGTTTTATAGAACTCTTTGAACGAGTTAAATTATACTCACAACATTAACTCTTCTCCTCCTATTTGCTCTTATTTATGTACTAGAAATAGGGTCCTAGCCAGGCACAGTGGCTCACGCCTATAATCCCAGCACTTTGGGAGACAGGGGCAAGAAGATTGCCTGAGTCCATGGGTTCAAGACCAGTCTGGGCAACATGGCGAGACCTTGTCTCTACAATAAATCAAAAAATTAGCTGGCTGTGGTGGCACACACCTGTGGTTCCAGCTACTTAGAAAGCTGAAGCAAGCCGGGCTTGGTGGCTCAGCCTATAATCCCGCGCTTTGGGAGGCCGAGGTGAGTGGATTGCCTGAGCCCGCGGGTTCGAGACCCGCCTGGGCAACTTGGCAAGACCTCATCTCTACAATAAATCAAAAAATCAGCTGGGCATGGTAGCACGTGCCTGTAATTCTGGCTACTCAGAAGACTGAGGCAGAAGGATCGCCGGAGCCCTCCAGTTTGGGCAATAGAATAGGACTCCAACTCAAAAAAAAGAAAGAAAGAAAGAAAGAAAGCTGAAGTGGAAGTATCGCCTGAGCCCAACAGGTCAATGCTGAGGTGGCCATGAGCGTTCCACTGTACTCCAGCCTGGGCAACAGAGTAAGACTCTGATTCAAAAAATAATAATAAATGCGGTCTTGCTATGTTGCCCAGAATGGCCTCAAACTCCTGGACTAAAGCAATCCTCCTGCCTCGACCTCCAGATAGCTGGAATTACAGGCTGCAGTGAGTCATGACTGTGCCACTGCACTCCAGCCTGGATAACAGAGTAAGATCCCAATTCAGAACAAAAAAGAAAATAGAGATCTGATCATACAATTCTCTCCTTAAGATCCCTCAGGGACTCCTGTCTTTCTAATAAAGCTCCTCAGGTGAGCCACTGCACCTGACTTGCTCCTGTTTTCTCTTGACCTCACTCGGATAGTTTTCATCCCCACCATCTCAGGGAAACAGGTCTTACTTATCCAGACCATCAAAGACATCTGTTTTGCCAAAGTCAACTAGCAACTCTCTCAGTCTCCACTTGACCAATCTCCTTGAAAAACTTCCTCATCTTTTGTCTGTGCAGAAATTTCTCTGGGAAATCCACCACCCCAAGTTGCTACTACAGCCCCATGGCTGCTTCCCCGTGCCTAGAGAGGTCACTCTGACACTGACCCCCCCTACTCACCCGAGCCCAGGAGCTGAGTATGCACAGTCTCATGGAAAATGATAACCGCAGGGCCTAGCGTGGACAAAGGCACATCCAGGCCACAGCGGGCAGTAGTCGCCTTGAGCTCCTTGGTGAAGTGCTTCAGATAAGCTTCCGAGGCATCCCCAAGGAATTTGAAGAGGTCGTTATGTAGCCGATCTGCATGCGTTCGGTAGATGACAAGGTCTGAGACAGCCAGGACCTTAAGCAGCAGCCGCGTTCTCTGGCTGAGATTCACAGTGGCCCCCAAGAGCCCTTCCGTGTCTATCACCGCTACTTTGTGGACTGGGTCATAGGCTGCCCACACACCCACAGTGCAGGACTCCTGGGCAGGGGATGTTTTGAAGACTTCGCGGCCATAAAAGAAAGTGTGGTTAAGGGTATGAGATTTTCCATCACCAGTATTTCCAAAAATGGAAACCACCTTCAGATGCTGATCAGGTTTGCAGTCCAATTTTCTAATAAAGTCCTCTTCATTTGTTACCTTCCAAAACAAACAAACAAACAAACAAAAAGACAATAAAATGTACAAACTGTAAAACAGCTAGAAACACCTACAAGAAGAACAAGTGCTTCCTAGGGTCAAGGTCTTTGGCTGACTTACCAAAGTAACAAGAAAAGGAAGCCCCAGGGTAAAAGCCTTTGGCAAACAGCTCACAGGGGCCTCTGAAGCCTCAGTAAAAACTTAGCGGTCAAGGCTGGGCACAGTGACTAATGCCTGTAGTCCCAATACTCTGGGAGGCTGAGGTAGGAGGATCACTTGAGCCTAGGAGTTCAAGGTTGCCATGAGCTATGATTGTAAGTCCCTGACTCAAAAAAGGAAAAAAGGAAATTGAAAACCTTGTGCTGTAAAGAACACCATTAAGACGATGAAAAGGAAAAGACAACTCATAGAATGGCAGAAAATACCTGTACATCAAATACGTGATAAGGGACTAGTGTTCAGAATGTATAAAGAAATTATACAACACAACAATAGAGACAAACAACCTAATTTTTAAAAAAGCTAAGAATCTGAATAGACATTACTCCAAAGAAGATATGCAAGCAAATAGCAAGCATATAAAAGGATGCTCAATAGCGTTCATCATTAGGGACATGTAAATCAAAACCACCATGAAGGCCAGGCACACTGGTTCATGTTTGTAACCCCAGCACTCTGGGAGGCCCAAGTAAGAGGATCGCTTGAGCTCAGGAGTTCGAAACCAGTCTGGGCAACACAGTAAGACCTCGTCTCTACAGTAAATAAAAAAATTAGGCAAGCAACAGAAAGTGTTGGTGAAGGTATAGACATCACAATTCTTATACTCTGTGTGTGGGGATGTAAAATCATAGCCACTCAGAAAAACAGACCAGCAGTTCCTCAGTCACCATGACTCAGAAATTCCACCCCTAGGTATAAACCCAAGAGAAGTGAAAACGTGTGCACACAAAACTTGTATGTATATGACTGTTCACAGCAGCACTATCTGTAAAGCCAAAAAGGTTAAAACAATCCAAATACCCATCATGGTGAATGAATAAACAAAACATGGCATATTCATACAGTGAAATACTTACTATTCAGCCGTAAAAAGAAATGAGCCCACTAAACCCCTTGCTTCCCACTTCAACCCCTTGCTTCATTACATGTCTGTGGTTCTCACCTTCTGGACGTTTTTCCACGTGCCCTTACTTTGATGTGACTCAGCAGGAATTCTATAACTATGTATTCATTTACTTATTTAATGAGACAGGGTCTCGCTGGGTTGCCCAGGCTGGTCTCAAACTACTGGGATCAAGTGATTCTCCCACCTCAGTCTCCCAAAGTGCTAGGATTACACACAAGACACCCCACCCAGTCAGAAATACTTATTTATGTCTTGTTTCCTATCATGACTGTTCCAGTTCCTCCTTTATAGTCTACCTAAATCCTTGATTGCTAAACTTCAGAGAGGTCTGTGAATGCTGTGGTGAGGCTATGCTTTCCTGGTATTGCAGGCAAATAATATGCCATGAAGGAATGTCTACTGACCTAGCCTTGGTGGCCTTTGTCACTGATACTATGTTTCTACTGGCTTGTTATGATTGGTTAGACAATGGATGACACTAGCATTTAGTTTGGTTTTTTTTTTCTTTGAGTCAGAGTCTCACTGTCACCCAGGCTGGAGTGCAGTGGCATAACCATGGTCACCGCAGCCTCAACCTGCTGGGCTCGGGTGATCCTTCCTCTTCAGCCTTCCAAGTAGCTGGAACTCCAGGCATGAGCCACTATGCCCAGCTAATTTTGGGGTTTATTGTAGAAATGAGGTCTCCTCAAGTTGTCCGGGTTGGTCTCGAACCCATGGGCTCAAGATTCAAATTCAAAAATAAAAAATAAGCTGGGCTCGGTGGCTCAGTCTGTAATCCCGCGCCTAGGGAGGCTGAGGTGAGTGGATTGCCTGAGCCCACAGGTTCGAGACCCACCTGAGCAACTTGGTGAGACTTCATCTCTACAATAAATTAAAAACTAGCTGGGTGTGGTAGCACGCGTCTGTGGTTCCAGCTACTTGGAACGCTGAGGTGGAAGGATTTGGAAGGCTGAGGCGGAAGGATCACAGGATCCCAGTGGGTCAAGGCTGCAGTGGCTGGGAGTGGCCACTGCACTCTGGTCTGGGCAATAGAGTGAGACTCCAACTCAAAAAAAAATAAAAATAAAAATAAATTAATTAATTAATTAAATAAAAGGCTAGGTGAGGAAAAAAATTTAAAAGCAAAAATAAATAAATAAACCAAAAAATACAATCTGAGCTATCTGACGAAGGAAAAAAAAGCCAGACCAGGAAGGAAGAGACCTGGGCCTGGGAGATTTCACATTGGAACTCCAGAAAGATGCTCATAGTGTCTGGTCTCCGAATCCAGAGCCCCAGGGTCAGAGCTCCCCAGCCAAATAGGCTACACATCTACTCCAGTAAAAGAAGTCAGGGGTTTCATATCAAGTGCCATCTAGTCACCAGAGAAAAAAAAAACCTTTCTGATTCTTAAGAGGCTGTGGGTTTGACACAAAACAGTTTGAAAAACACAGATGGGGGAATGGACCACCTGAGGCCCAAACCTCACCACTATACAGTATGTCCAAGTAACAAATACACATGGGTACCCCCAAATCTAAAATTACAAAAAGAAAAACAGATAGAAAATATGATAAGCTCTTGCTCCTATTCTCTCATCAAGAAGATAAACCACCCGCTGTTCTACAGATGATGTCACTACTCTGTCATTATGATGAGCCTGGATGCTGATGATCCACAAGGGCTGGACCATGGCTGCATCTGCACATACACAGCACTAGCAGCAGCCAGCACACAGGAGCCCAGCATCTCACTTCTGAGTGAGTGCCCCTGCCTGCTGGCAATTTGCTAGGTATCTTGATCACTTCTCCCCACACTTCTTCCCGGGGTGAGCACACAGCATTCCACAGGCCTGGTGATGGCTGGCTGATCCAGCAGATAACAGATACAGGAGCTACACAGAACAGCCCACTCTGAACCTGTGTCACTCACCTGCTAAGGTGGTCAGCAAGAGAAAACAAAAGCTCCACAAACCTTGACCAGCAATAAGTCATGTAAGGTCAGGGTGGCCGGCTGGAGGAGGCCTTCTCAAACAGGCCTAGTGAGAAGACCTGGCCTAGAACTTTCTCCCCACAGAAATTTACTCAGTCATGAATCTGGGAACAAACACAACAGCAAACTGCTCTCCAGAATACCTAAGAGCAGGCACTTGAAAAGGAGCATTGGGAGCTTTAGGAAGTCTCAGGATTCACACTAAGTGCCCAGCAGTGAATATACAATATATGTAAATAACTCACTCACTTGGGAAGGAAATAAAACACTGCCTGGCACTATCACAGGTGACTCTTGGAATTCAGTGTGCTGGGGTGTGTTGGGCACACATGTTCATGTGTGGGGCCTACACATCAGAGTAAGTGCAAAGGATTCTGGGAGGAAGAGCTCGATGCTACCCCGCCCACACCTACATGTCTGACATGTCCGCAGCCCCCCACAGCAGGAAAGCAGGAGCAACACCAAAGCCACCACTCCCAACCTCTGCCTTTCATCCTTCCCGCACTGGACATTCAGCCTCAGTAAGACAGAAAGAAACACTTGAACCCCATTCATAGTTTTGCCAGTGTGTGGCTCTGGACACATGATCTAGACTATCCCACTCCCAGGGATACAAGAGACCAGAAGAGACAAGTCTGTAAAAACGGCAGCACAGGGCCTGAACCATCACCGCAGAGACCAGTCCTGGGTAACCCAGGTGCACAGTTCAGCAGCAGGAGCGCCTGAGGCTGCATGGAGGACTCACTCGCATGTGGAGACTGGACCAACTCCAGTGTCGCTGTTTATCCCCTCCAATTAGAATGCTGCACTATGGGTAACACTGGCCATATAAGGCTCTCAGGAACCATACACATCGCTCTTGTCTCTGTGAAGCTCACATCTCCCTCATTCCCTCCCTTCATCTCACCAGAGCTCTTCACTCTGTAGAGGGATCCCCATTGCTGCAATTTACAACTCAGTGCAGTTTCCTGGCAGCAAAAGGTGCCCAGAAGTCACCCTCTGGCCCCAGCAGACAAAGAAATTGGCGAGCCTCCCTCAAGAGACCCTTCCAGCCCTCAGATATCCTTCCATGATGAAAGGCCATACACAGGCTTGGTCCCAGGAAGGCCTAGGAAGAAAAGGCAAGACAGGGAAGAAGCTAGAAAGCCTTGTACACCCAAGGAAGCACTCAGCATCAAGGTCTTTTCAATTCTGGCTCAGGATAAGGGGACGCTGACCAGTGCCAACTACAATCATACATTCCTTCTGTTTTTAGATGTTCCCTGTGACTGAGGGCAAAAGTCAACTCCTCCACAAGGGATGGAAAGAGCTCTGGAAAGCTTGCTTGCAGTGGGGTGCTGTGGCTCATGCCTATAATCCCAGCACTTTAAGAGGCCGAGGTGAGAGGATTACCTAAGCCCACGAACTTGAAAACAGCTACTCGGGCAACCGGGCAAGATCTCATCTCTACAATAAATCAAAAAATTAGCTGGGCATGGTGGCACATGCCTGTAGTTCGAGCTACTTGGAAGGCTGAGGCAAAGGATCAGCTGGGTTTATTGGCTCAGCCTGTAATTCCACGCCTTAAGAGGCTGAGGTGAGTGGATTGCCTGAACCGGTGGGTTCGAGACCCGCCTGGGCAACTTGGCGAGACCTCATCTCTACAATAAATCAAAACTTAGCCAGGCGTGGTAGCGCGCACCTGTAGTTCCAATTACTTGGAAGGCTGAGGCGGAAGGATCGCCGGAGCCCAGCAGGTCGAGGCTGTGGTGGCCGGGAGCGGCCACTGCACTCCAGTCTGGGTGACAGAGTGAGACTCCAACTCAAAAAAAAAAAAAAAAAAAAAAAAAGGAAGGATCACCTGAGCCCAGGTTGAGGCTGTGGTGGCTATGAGCATGCCACTACACTCCAGCCTGGGCAATAG